CCAGCAGTTTAGAGGCTCTGTTGTCTGAGTTTTCTGTACTGCCTGGTTCCCACAGTCGTTAAGTCCCAAAGAAATCACACAGAGGTATACATTAGTTATTAACTGATTGGCCCATTGGCTCATGCTTCTTATTAACTCTTATAACTTATATTAGCCCATTATTCTTGTTTATGCTATCCACATGGCTCAGTACCTTCTTCAGGAAGGCAGTCACACGTTGCTTCTTCTGTGGCTGGGTTAGGACTGCAGATCAAGCTTTCCTCTTCCCAGAAGTCTCCTGTTCTCTTTGACCCGCCTCTACTTCTTGTCTGGTTGTCCTGCTATACTTTCTGCCTGGCTACTAGCCAATCAGCATTTATTTAAAATATAATTGACAGAATACAGACCATTGTCCCACACCATATCTCTGTGAGTTCGAGACCAACCTGGTTTACAGAGCAAGTTCCAAGACAAGTTCCAAAGTTACACAGAAAAATCCTGTCCTGAGAAATCAAGCAGCCAACCAACCAATCAAACGAAACCAAAAATCACACAAAAAAAAGATAGATTAATTTATACTTGGTTTCTGGCAAAGTTAGTGTTGATTATAATCTACTTCTTAAATTTCTGTAATACAACCAGGTAATTTTCCCCTTCCAGCATTGAATATACTAAATAAAAAGTCCTATAAAATGGTGAGATTATAAAGTTCTATAAAACAAAGCCAGGGCAAACCTTATTTTCTTCCAACTTAGAATTTAAATTTTTATATCAGAAAAAAAAATCAATGAGCTCTGATTTTGCACTTTGAAGTCCAAGAATGTGCTGTAACTTTAAAGAAAGTCAATGTATATTTATTATTCAGTTTGTGTTTATAGTATATACAAGCTTAATTCTATGGAAAGCAGAAAGGAGTAGAAATCAGCCTGGTTTTAGAAATAACAAAACTCATCCTGTGATTTGATGTTACCATTTATGATGAAATGATAAATATATAAATATTATAGGAAAATCAAATATCTATATTTTTCTATCAGGAGAAAATTGTGGGTATATAATGGACTTTTGTTTAGGTGGCAACAAGTAGTCCACCAGCTTTTAGAAAATTTAAAAAGTGTGAAGCAGAAAACTGCCACAGTGGACCACATTGTGCTGGTTCCTCAGCAGGAAGGGGTCAGCATCTTATGACTCTCTACTCTGATTCTTCATGTTTTCATGGGTCACTACTCTCTTGTTCTTGAAGGCACTGAGTCATATACCATCTAGGAGTTGAGTCATGTAAGACGTGAAGTTATTACTGCATTGCAGAAGACTTATTTCTACCAGTTGTCACAATGATGTGGCTGTCAGAGCAAATGAAGAATTGATCTTGATTGCACTTACTCAGTGAAGACTCATTTCCTCCTCTTTATAGTATGGTATCAAATGAAAGTGAATATACGATTAAGCTATAATCATCTTTGATTTTCACATAAGGTCTAAGAAGTTACTTTCTTTGTCCAGTGTTAGAAGTGTGATTCCAAGGTTTCTACTCTGATAAAAAGCTGCAAGAGTCCTTGTGCTAATACTTGCTGGAAATCATTGATTTACTTATTTTTTAATTTAGATAGTCTCTCTCTCTCTCTCTCTCTCTCTCTCTCTCTCTCTCTTACACACACATCTTGATATATGTTGCTTATCTTCTTCCCCAAGCCTTCTCATCTGCATCAACCTTGCCTCATCCCTAACATTTTTCTTTTGAAAATTTATGACTTTTAGGTTTGTTGTGTCAAGCACAGAAGTTTGACCGGAGCCATCCATGTGACCATTAGATTGGAAAAGTCTATTGTAGCCTTTGGCTACACAAATGAAAGCAGTAACTTATCTCTCCTTGAATCACCCTAGTCCAATACATTCATCTGTTAAGGCTAGGGCCCATGAACCCCTCCTCCATTCATACTTAAGTGTTGACAGGCACATGAACAGGCTTTTTTAAAGGCAAACTAAGTAATTAGGTTTTTTTTAGTAACTCATTAAGAATATTTTTTTACTTTGTTCTTTTTTAGAAAAAAATTTAAAAGTTATTTGTATTGCTTAACCTCCAAATTGAATGCTTCTCTAAAAACTTTATCATGTTTGGGAAGATAAGATTGTTGAAATGTATTCAAAACTTGTTCTTATGGAAATATTTCATCTTGCAGCTCTTTGCAAAACAAAGATCACTGAGCAGTAACTAGTATTAATCAAAAGACCCAGTGCTTAGATAAAGCAGTGTTCTACACTGTCTCTTGAGATTGTTTTTCAGATTTTTTTGTTATTGTTGATTTTTTTTTAATGGAGGCTCTTGAATTCCTTATAATTTGTAATAAGTATTATTTTACGTCTTCAAATTTAAGTAGTTTTTATTTTGTTTTTCTTGTCTAATTGCTCTGGCTATGGTCTGAAATAATCATGTTAGGTAGTAGGGCCTATAGTGGGCTTGATCTTAAAAAAAAACAATACTGCAAATTTTGAGTGTTGTGTGTAAAGTTATTGGAGGGTTTTTCATATATGGTCTTTATTATATTGAGCTAATTTCCTTCTATTCATGGTTTGTCAGTGGCTTTTAATCATGAAAAGTGCTGAATTGTGGTTATAGGCTTTTTCTTTCTCTATTGAGATAATCAGGTGACATTATCCTCTATTCTGCTAAGGGTGTACATCACATCATTTTATTTTATGTGTTGAATTATCTTTTCATCTTAGAAGTAAATTACATTTGGTCATAATGTATGGTTCTTTGAATGTGCTATTGAGTTTGGTTTGCTGGCCTTTTGTAGAAGAATTATGCGTCCACATTCATCAGAGATATGATTGGTAGTTTTATTGTTTCTGGTGCTTGGGTCAGGCTTTTGTATCAGAATAGTAATGCTCACTAATAAAATGTATTTGGAAGAGTTCCCTCCTCTTGAACTTTTTGGAACAGCTTGAGAAGAATTGCTATTAATTCTTTAAATGTCTGGTTGAGTTCACTAGTGAAGCCATCTGTTCCTGGGGCTTTCATTGTTTGGAGGTTTGATTACTGACTCCTTCTCTAGACTCCTCTATGCATTCTCTTTGCTTCATCACTCCATCTTGAAACATACTTAGATCGTTGGAGTGCATTGTTAGAGATGACCATTCTGGTCATTTTTCTATTTTTACCAGTTAGCAATGTTTTAAATTAAATAACTAAAAACAACAGAGGGGAGAACAGAAATTCTGTAGTATACTCAGCAACCATTTCTTGAAGTAAGATTAAAATAATCAATATCAGATTATTTCATCATTGTTAAGATCATTATCAGGTAAAGTGTCTGCACCACTGTCAAGGCAAGGAATAATTTCAGTTGCTCGCGGGATTTTTTTTTTTTCAGAGCATTACGGATAAATTCCAGAGATCATCTAATCTTATAAAGAATGTTCCTTGCACTCCGTTGGTCCATATTCTCTGTTTGGCTTCAGAAGATACTTAGACCTTTTCATTTGTTTTATCTACTGGTACCTCTTTTAGGTATAGCTCTTTGGCATTTACTACGACAAGCGACTTCCTGGAAATCAGCTAATATTTGGATATGCTTTTGTGTGACTATCAGGTCTTACTTCAAACCTAGAAAGAATGACAGAGCTAAGCATACATAGTAAATGTATCCAGTCTTTAAATTGACAAAAAAAATGTCATTTTGGTGGTTTGCAAAGTGTGTGTACATGTTTAATAATGCAAACTACAGAAGTTGTAAGACTCTCTTACTTAAAATTCTAATGATGTCGATTTGGCCAGAAGTTGGGGTAGCTTGGAAAATATCAAGCAAAGCAACTTTATCAAGGAACAAATTAGTGTTTGAGGCTGGTGTTAATTGGCAGCCAAGGTGTTTCATTAGGAAGCTGAATTGTTAACAGTTGTTACTTGGTTACAACGAAAACACCAGCCAGAAGAAAATGCGGCGGTGTAAAGGATCTGTCTCCCATTTCAGCCAATCCCTTTGCCAATGTGTCAACAACGTGCATCCTGTTTTAAAGCAGTCGTGTCGTGCCTAGAGACTGTGTCTATGCTGATAGTTCGTGGTGTCATCTACATTGGAGGCATACTTAGTAATGAATGGGTTCAGGCACGATCACTTTCAAACTGCAGGTGTTGTATTTTTCTATTTTGCTGCTTTCTCTGCTTGAATGAAACCCAAGGCTTTCCTGGGAGAGCTGTTTTCTCTTTGTAACCTACCACATAAAGGAAACCACAGGGAATATATAAATGGTAGCTACAGAGATTATTCTTCTGGATGCAGCAATGCGAACCGCGATGCCTTGTCTCTATGAGTTGATGTGTACATACGGTGACTCTGTAAAGAAAACAGAAACACCTCGGGGCCATAGGTAGTGATGTCCAACTGTTTACTCTCTTCGTGAATGGTAAACAGTGTTAAGGTTTCACACCATGCAACATACTCAGAGTACCTTGACAGTGTGAGAGCTTTGATACTTTCCCCTTTGTGACATTTTCATAGCTGTCTGGGGATAGAGGAAGAGGTGAAAAGAAGAAAAAGGAAGGAAAAAAAAAGGTGTTTGCTCCCTGAGTCCTCATACAGTAGGCCAGAAATCCCTGTCACCTCATCTTTTCAGTCTCTTCTGTGGTCAGCATCAGCTTCTATGGGGATGGGCAAAAGCAAACCATTTTCTGTATAGGATGCAAACTTGTTGGTTTAAATTGTGTGTCACTAGTTCCTCAGCCAAATCGTTTAATTATGATAATAGTCTTACTGGAGCCTCTGCTGTCGATTCTAAGAAGCAAGCATGGCTCTATTTGCTGCCCTTCAAAGAAAGACAACTACGGGCTTGCAAAGTCTCAGTGAGGGATTCATAGAAAAATAATGAATGCTTCTGCTGTAGCATGTCACAGGGGAGGCTGGGACAATAGTGATCTCATGCACACTGCTGTTCCTTGCTTGCTGGGCAGCATGTACACCTGGATTTCTGACAGCTATGCGGGTCCACTAGAGACTTCTGCCTTTCTGTTCGTCCCCTCACAGGCGATGGTCGAGACAGTTAACAACCTCCTTCAGCCGCAAGCTTTGAATGCCTGGAGAGACCTGACAACAAGCGACCAACTCCGTGCAGCCACCATGTTGCTCGACACGGTGGAGGAGAGTGCTTTCGTGTTAGCCGATAACCTTTTGAAGACCGATATTGTCAGGGAAAATACAGACAATATTCGTAAGTGACCTTTGCCAAGACAGAAGGGCTAGAGTCGGTTGCATAGCAGAAAAAGGATTTAAAAAAAAAAAATCTGATGCCCCAATCATGAGCAGTGCTTTGGTTTGCTGGATGTGTTATTCTATTTCTCAAATAGCTTTCAGTTTAACAGGAACAGAATTCATGCATGTTAACCTCTGTAGGGCATTCCAATATGAGAGCACATCCGTGAGGTTTAGTAGTTGAACTTTTATGTAGGCATGTATGTATGTAGATTTCATATTGTTTACTATTGTGACCTTCTAATGTGAGGATTACCTGTCTTGAGTTATGATCTATAAGAAACAAGTCCTTTGAGTGATGATGTTAATGTTTAGAAATGGTATCATCCCTTCCCATAAATATAAATCTGTTTTTATTGTGTTTTAGGATGTAGCTAACAATTTTCTTTCAGAAGATTTGATTAAGCTGTTTCAAATTTTATTAGGTTTGTAGATAGATCAATACAGATGTGACAGTACATCTCTGGAGTACAGAGGATTTGTACATAATTCATGGAATAGGGATAATATCTTGAAAATTAACTTAAAAGAAAAGACAACATGTGAAGACTTGGATTAGAATTTTAAATATTAGGTTTGAGTATTGTACATTTGTATTACTTACGTAATTTTTGCACATTTGATGATTTTATTTTTTTAAAGAAAACGACAATACTAACCATATCCTTGCATACAAATTAAGCAACTTCAACATGACAAATAGGCCAAGGACCCTGAAATTGTGAATATAGAAATAGTTTAGTGGTTAAGGAGATTCTTGTAGCTTTGCCAGATCCCTCATAGGACGCTGACACCTCTCTGTTGTGAACAGAACTAGAAGTTGCACGGCTGAGCACAGAAGGGAACCTAGAGGACCTGAAATTTCCCGAAAACATGGGCCATGGAAGTACCGTCCAGCTCTCAGCAAACACTTTAAAGCAAAATGGCCGGAACGGTAGGCTGGAGTTTGTTTTTGTGCTCACTGCAGTTGCCCGTCTATTCGTTTGCTTTTAAATCTGTCATGTAAGAGTTCTTTACTCCTTCTCTCTCTCTTTTCCTCTTCTTATCTACAGGGCCATCAATATAACAATGATATATATATATATATATATATATATATATATATATATATTGAATAAAATTCTCTGTTACATTCTTTCTCTTGTTGGTTGTCAGAAACTTGAATATGTAGAAAATTCTAAACCCCAAAGCTCAAATTTTCTGCCAAGTTCTGCCCCCACCCTCCAGTAGTAACAGTCATTGAATTTGACTATAAGGGGGGCTTCAAGGGGATGGAACTAGGATATGTAGGTCAGCTTAAGTAACTGTTAAATCAAATTCACTCAAAAAATAATAAAGTACAATATATAAGTAACCTCATGGAACAAAGCATATTCCTAACTTCACAAATCCTTGTCACAAAGGCAGGAAAACCCTTGAGCTTGTTAAGTGATGTGGAGATGACATGAGGTTAGTGTAACCCATTCAGAACCGCTGTTTCATACAGGCAGAATAGCTCCAAAAAGGATCTCCTTAATATTAGCAACGGCTTAAATTTTCTATCATCTGAATATAATGTTGTCAAAGCATTTAAAATCATTTATGAGTAAACTTATAAATCATTAGAGTCTCACGGCCTGGACTAAGGAAATGTTTGAGGAAGCAGTAAGATTGTGAACCGTGAAAAGAGACATTTGTATCCACTTCCTAGCTGGTTTAGTAAATTCTGCTCTCTGCAACAGTATTTCCCTCCGAGAAAGAGTCCTGTCCAGATGGAAATCTCACCAGTTCACTTCCGAGAATGAAGCTCCATTACCAAGGGAGGCCTACAGCTGCCTGTCTTGTGCATCCTGTCTTATTTGCCCCACTTCATGTTTTTTCTCCAGCATGACCATGATCCATGCTAAATAGTTTTAATTATGTTCCTCATACAAAGCGGCATGATTCAGCGACAGGGTTTGCTGTACACAGCAGCCTCTCTATCATTTGACTCTACCTCCCTTTTATTGAAAATAGCTTTTTCTCTCCCCTAATTCTTATTAAGAGTTCCCCTTCTTCTACTCCTCCCAACGCCCCCGTATCCAGATCTATGCCCCTTTCTGTTACTTATTAAAAACAAACAGGCTCTTAAGGGATAATAAAAATAAAAAATAAGATAAAACATAAAAAGAGGACAAAACAAACAGAGGAATAGGGGCTTAAGTAAGGGTACAAGGGACCCACTTAATTGCACACTCAGGAATCCAATAAAAACCCTAAACTGGAAGCCATCATATATATGCAAAGGACATGTAAGGTAAAAAAAAAAAAAGAAACATATATAAATAAAAGTTAAAAAAAGAAAAAAATTAACAAGAAAATAGCTTCTGATGTGGAATTTTGAGTCAAGAAACCTCCAGTGCTTGCTGTTGCGTTCATTTTCTGTTGGCCATCTACTACTGGGTATGCAGCCTGCCCTTAAGGTAGTTTATTTCCCCAGTGAGACTGCCTTGGGAAAAACTAAAATTTCATTTGCAAATGGTTAACAGTTGGAGGTAGTTTCTGCATAGGGATGAAGTCATCTGTCCACTTCTCCTCTAGCGCAGACCACTGCAGGCCCTGTGCGTGCTGCCTCAGTTTCTGGGGGTTCATATGAGCTTTGCTCATGCTGATTTAGAGGACCTTGTTTTAGTGGTGTTCTCCATCCTCTCTGGCTCTTACTCTCTTTCCACCTCCTCTTCTGTGTGGTTCCCTGAGCCCTGAGGGGAGGAATTTGATGGAGACATCCCATTTAGAGCTACTGAGTCTCCAAGATCTCATTTCCTGCATATTGTCCACCTATGGGTCTCAGTATTTGTTCCCATCTGCTGAGTGAAGAAACTTCTGAGGATGATTGAGCAAGGCACATCATTTGACTCTTAAAAAGTAAATCTACCTTTTAGTGGAAACTCTTCTCTTAGGTGGATCACTATTTCTTAACCCTCTCCCCTCAGCCATACTTAAGACAATATTGCTTCAAATAATTTTTTCTTTTCTTTTCTTCGTTTTGTTTTACTACCTGTCTGCTTATTGTCCTACTCCTTCCAGGCAGTAAGTTCCTCAAGATCAGGGGCCATGTCTGATGTCATCACCCTGGTAGCCATAGTGTTGTAAACAAGACATGGGAAAGCAAATGAATTTACAAAGATGATAATGAATAACTGGATAGACTTCCTAACAGGATGCTAAAGAGGACATAAATATGTCTACATTAGCTATATCGAGTGGCTTGCTTATTTTATGGATTGCATTGGTGTGCAAGGTTTTCATCTTAAGCCCCATCAAGTCACTTTGGTGTGAATATTCTGTAACAATTATGTGAAATTTCCTGCACCGATGAAACAAGTTGGAATGACAACATGCCACTGAGCACTACATGGAATTGTTATGACTTATTACCTGACTATGAGCCAATTGTAATAAAAGTCACTAATATTGAGAAGAAAAAAACGCTTGAATAAAAATTAAGTGTAGCCATCAAGCATCATAAATTTTATCCTAAATTTAGAAGAAAAATTAGTTTTTTTCTACTGTAACAGATAAGTATTTAATGAGGAAATATTATTTAGATTTGGTATCTTAAGAGATAAAGGTGAGATAAGAATCCTCTCAGGTGTAATAGCAAGCAAGATATGAATCTAAGTAATGGGATTTTCATTGCATCTGATTGGATGTGTCTGACTGGAGTGCCCAAAGAATCTGTTTGCATGGCTAGGTGCAAAAAGACCACCCTTTTTCTACTTTGTGTATTTAAATTCCTAAGAGCAAGGAATTTCATAAATATATACGTACAGCTGAGGTACAAGACAGTTATGATTATACCTCTTTAACTGCCCCCCCCATATAAATATGTCTCATTTGACCCAGTGTTCTCTTTCTCTATTTGACCTTAAAATTCAATTCATAGACACTTTGGCTTTCCGATCTTTTTAGTTGTACTAGTCAGAGTAGCATTGGTTTCTTGGCAAATTATGACCTTATGGTAGAAACAAGACATAGGGTTTGACATTGGGCATGGGAAAATGATAAAAATTAAAATATGACAAAAGGAAAAGGAAGTAGTTAGCTTTAAAAACTATTATAAGAGAATATTACAAAGGGGAATAAGGACAAAGAGCTTTATGACTTTGTAGAAATAGTGACCTGAAAAGAAAATGATTATTAAGTTCTTGGGCAAATAAAAGAATAGCATCCTTATTTTAAAAAATCTTATTGCAAGCTGGACAGTGGTGGTGCACACCTATAATCCCAGCACAGAGACAGAGGCAGATGGAACTCTGTGAGTTTGAGACCAGCCTGGTCTACAGAGTGAGTTCCAGGATAGTCAAAGCTACACAGAGAAACCCTGTCTGAAAAAAGAAAATAAAGTAAAAGAATCCCATTGAAATGTAATTAAAACACAATGAATTACAAACAGAGTGAATGTTTGAGAAATCTGACAGTTGTATTTACCTCTATAAATAAAACATAAAATACATAGAAAACCAACCAGAAACTAAATGTTTCCTATATATTTCCATGGTGTTTCTTACTGTTCCTTGATTCTCTTTTCTTCTCCTAATGAAACATTCTTATTATCACTCTGTTCTTAGATGTCATTTATCCAGAATCACTTATGTGACCTATTTTCTATTTAGATTAAGTAATCCAAAATATTGTTTGGATATTCAGTCATGATTTGCCATTAACTAGTATTTTGTGTTGTATTGACACATAGTATATTCTATTAATGTAATATATTTATTCTACTATTTGATTTCTTTCAAGAGAGAGGCTATGATCAATAAGGATTCTGTAAAAAGCCTCATACAAATTGTTTTCTTTGTGGTAAATGTTCTCACTTATCCAGGAAAGGCCAATATGTATGCAGTTTTATAAAAAGTGTCAAAATCTTTCCAAGTCACTGAAATATTTTATATTCCCATCAACAGCGTATAAGAGTCCAAGTCCAAGACTGTATAAATGACATGGCATGAAAAATAATATTACAAATGTAGTTTTAATTTTTTTCTTTCCTTAATTGCTAATGATTTCATATATAATCTTTTCATATATATAATGGTTTTTGTTATATTCTTTTCTAAAGTGCCCATTAATGTCTTTGGGTTGTTTACAGTATCTTCTGTCATCATTCTGTTAACTGGCATGGATGTTCTGATTATTCAAACAGAATAATGTTGTCATTTTCCTATTGTCCCCTAGTTTGTAGTGGGCATATTTGTTTTCTTAATGATATATTTTAATAGGTTCATAATTTTAATTTCGATGAAGTTCAGTTTTCCTTTTATTGATAGGTTTTGAGGCTATGTGCATTATTTTATCTTCTTCAAGGTAGAAGCAGATTATCTTACATTTTGTTTTAGAACCTTTATGATTCTGGATTCTGGTTTTGGGTCTATGAAACATCTTAAATCCAGCTTCAAGTATACAGTGAGACAGTGCTTGAGACTCAGTGTTTAAAGAAGTGATATATAATGATTTCAACAGTATTCAATTTCCCTTTCCTCATCAGTGACTTTGTACTTTGGTATCAAGCAACTTTGATTTTATATCCACGAATGTGTTTTATACAGTTTTGACTACTACCTAATCAGAATTGCAAATTCTAGTAAGAAGTAAAAACTAATCAGCTTCTTCAAATTTCTAATTCACATTTGCATTTATTTTAGGGGAGATTAGAGTAGCCTTTGTCCTGTATAACAACCTGGGCCCTTATTTGTCTACGGAGAATGCCAGTATGAAGTTGGGCACAGAAGCCATGTCCACAAATCATTCTGTTATCGTCAATTCCCCTGTGATTACAGCAGCAATAAATAAGGAGTTCAGTAATAAAGTTTATTTGGCCGATCCTGTGGTATTTACTGTTAAACATATCAAGGTAAGAAAATGACATGTCGTGTTTCATTTTCTATATTGTTTATATTTGATACAGAATGAATATTAAATCTATTAATTTTCTTTTAATATTTTTGTTTGTCCTACATAGTATATCATTCATGAATATAGTCATGATTGTTTTCATAAATAATCAGAAAGATATATAAAACTGATCTCTATATGAAATGGTGATATGTTAATTTTTCCATAGTAACATTATTGTGTCTAGATGTAATATAAATATAATATTATATACTCTAAATATGAGCTGCACAGTTCTTAAAAGAGCTTGCAATGCACTTAATTTAACTGAGCTGCAGCACTTCAATACTATTACAAGCAATCATGTCGGTGTGTGAAGATATATTTTTGCATATATACAAGTCTAGAAGTTGTAAATGTTATAAAGATTTGTAAACACCAAAAAAATTCCTTATAGAAGTTTTTTTCCCCCAACAGTTGGCTTCTTTACTTTGAAATTTAAAAACCAGTACAATCCTAAAACATTGCTAGTAACATCGTTTTGGCATCATCCGTGTTGAAAAAAAAATCTCACTTCTGATCAGACACAAGAAATAACAGCTCTTCAATTTCATTCCAAATTGATGAGGGCCACTTAATATGAAAATACCAAACACACCTCTGTAAGGATTACAACGTAGTGTGAGGCTGTGCTGTGGGTAAAGAAAGTACCTACTTCATTTGCTGGATCATAAAATAGTTATTGCCTTTATTGATCTTTTTCCACCGTAGCAGTCAGAGGAAAATTTCAACCCTAACTGTTCATTTTGGAGCTATTCCAAGCGCACAATGACAGGTTATTGGTCAACACAAGGCTGTCGACTCCTGACTACAAACAAGACACATACTACATGCTCCTGTAACCACCTCACTAATTTTGCAGTATTGATGGCACATGTGGAAGTTAAGGTAAGATGTACCACAAAGCAGGACTATTCTAGCATGTAACCAGACTGCTAGCTTTAAATATTCCTGGTATTTTTCCCCTAGTAATTTTAGCCAGGAACTCTGGCATTCATGACATATCCTTTTGAGTGATTCAAATCACTTCTTCTTTCTTTTTCCATTGTCAATATAAAAAAAAAAATCAAAGTTTGCTCAATAAATTTCTCTGTAGCCTCCCTGCTTTCAATTTTGGGCAAATGAATGCTATACTGTCATCTTATGAACAGGGTAAGTTAGAACTGGGATAATGGAAGCTGGGATTGGCTACATAGAAGATTAAAGAACTAATACGTAGATTAAATACTATCAAACGGACGCCTGGAAAAAACAACAAATAAGTGTGATCCATAGATCCCAGTGGTGTGGAGGGATTAGCATATTGTAATACAGAGCAATGCACATTCCATTCTAAGGAAGAGTTCAGGTGCTTGATAGTTTTCACAGTCAAAAACTGGCTAAGTTGGCTGCTTCTGCTTCTTTCTGGAATGATAGGATTTTATACACATAGAGGGTTAAGAAAGAGAACATGGGTTTTCAATGAAAGAGAAGGCTGAGTAGGCTTTAGAGTATCTTTAAACACAGGAGAACTGTCAAGGGTTGAACTATAATATAGTCTGTATCCAGAAGTCCTAGATCAACATATTTAAAGATTGGATATGTAAGATTTCTGTCTCTTCCCCACCACCGCCTCCCATTTCCCTCCCCCTCCCCCAATCAAGTCCCCCTCCCTCGTCAGCCCAAAGAGCAATCAGGGTAAGCAAGATAATTTGAGAATGAGTAGGAATGCTTGTGTCTTGCTCCTCTAAAAAACATTTGGCCAGGACCAATATCTGAGTTGATTCCTCTTGTGGATCATTATTAATAGTTGTAAGAAAAGAAGGCCTAGCTTATATGGTTTATATGACTTAAAATATATTTAAAAAGGCAGTATTCTGAAACAACATCCAGTGAAAAGAATACACAATTATATTCATGAACCAAATGAATATTTAAAGTGTTAGTTTATAACCTGTAATTTTCTTCAAATAAATTATGTATTAAATTGTAATAATGATAGTTAATATTAAAGTTATTAATCTCATATAAATCACCTTATATAGTATATACTATTTTCTTTAATATTATTTTGAAGGTTGTTTTTAACTTTTGTTTTACGGAATTGCTTTTTTATACATGTATGTATATCTGTGCACCACATGTGTTCAGTACCCACAGAGGCCAGAGGAAGCCTCAAGGTTATAGCTGTTTCTTAGCTGGGATGTAGGTGCTGAGAATTGAACATTGGTTGTCTGGAAGAGCTGTAGGCATTCTTAACCACTGAGCCATTTCTTCAGCCTATATTATATAATCTCATAATATTTTTTATTAGAGTGAGATATGAATTATGTCAACATTTAATCATTTGTTTTCATAGGATATCACATTATAGTACCCCGTCTAAATTTTTAATAGACATTGAAATTTTAAAAGCATGAGTACTTAAAACCTAAATTGGCTTTGACAATAACTGAATGTTCCTTCATAAATTTTCATAAATTTTTTTCTATTATATAAATAATATTACTTACTATGCAACTTTAAGAATTGATAGATGATACATTTTGAGACAAATTACTTCATAAGTTGAATACAATTAGAAAGAATACATATAATAACCAGTTTAACTGTTCAATCAAGAACAGCTTTGTTGATATTTAATGTATTAAAGAAAAAGATAAATTCTCTGTTTAAGAATATGAATTTTCATGAAGAAAGCAGAAGCAAATAGTTATATCACAGTAAGAAAGAGATCCGAATGAAGCTTTTGCAGTGTTTTTTGGAAAAATTGAATATATAAAGACAGAAAAAAATTGCTAGCTTGGAGGTGGTGGTTATAAGATTTCTATAAAGAAATTAAGAATTTCTTGGAAAAGTTGTAAAGAATGTCCCAATTAGATAAAGCATATAAAGAAAATGACAAGGAAGTTAAATATGATGTTTGAAAATTCTATGAAAAATTTAAGATTACTGCACCATATATAGAGCCTGACTGACCAGCAACTGAAGATGGTGACTTCAGTAGAGCTATGGCTAAATTCAATAAGCTTAACACCTATAGGCTAGGACTGGAATCTGAGAACACCCTCACATGCGGCATGACCTATGTGTCTCAATATTTACAAGCAATACGCCATGTTGGGAAACACAGAGCACATACTGATTTACAAAACTTAGGTGTAATGACAAGGGGACACAAAATCTGAACTTAGAAATCTTACAATTACCAGAGTGCTGCTGGAATGTGACAGTTGGCTTGGCGGGGGTGCATCATGCAGTGGTACCCAGTGAGTGATCTACTTTACCTTCTACAAGTCTGAGACCTCATCTAGGGTTTGGAGGATACATGAAAAACTAATCTACAAGCAATTTCATCACTATTACCTTTCTAGAAGTCGATGGCAATGGAACGTTTTGCATTTTACGTAGATGATTCCCGATCCCATAGGAGTGACAGATGTGGAACCTGCGATGCCCACACAGTGGCGCATAGTTCAATAGTAAAGAAAGACTTCCACCCTAGCAGGCATGACGGAAATTTGTATTCCAGCTAGACTTAGCACATAAAAACATACATAAAGCTTGTTATCTCAGTTATGTATTCTAATAGATGAATTAGCAACAAGAATTTAGATACTTGTGAATTTTCACCTCTCTGGCATTAGTAAAAGTGGAACAGTGATTAATGTTCAACATGTTTTAGAAATTGAAAACTCTAATACAGGGTTTGCCTGCCTTATTCCTGTGATGCAAGTCATTTGCTGCTGCATAGTTTGGCTTCTCTCTCTCTCTCTCTCTCTCTCTCTCTCTCTCTCTCTCTCTCTCTCTCTGTGTGTGTGTGTGTGTGTGTTGGGGGGGGGGTTACAACTTAGAAAAAAATGGTACAAGTATTCTTGAAGAAGACTGTATATCTGCTGGCAACATAAAATTATTTTTGCTGTTTCAACACAGTTAAAATTCTGGTCTTCAAAGGACTATAAGGCCAATTTTGCCAAAGCATTTCAAGCTGATTGAAGTCAGCACGATTGACCACATTGACAAATGATAGATTTAATTCTGGAATGTGTTAGTTAGGTTCTTGGCTCCTACATTTCTACCAGCCAAGACATTGAACTCTGAAAAATGGATCAAATTTAGACAACCACAAAATATCATTTTGTTTGGCTCAGTTCATTTCCTAACAGCCCTTCTTCAGTCCATTTTAAAAGGATCATGACTGTGACCACTATTGTGTGTCAACAAGAGACAAAATAAATGGAAATCGATACTTTCCTTTAACAATCGCTCACACAGAATGCTTCACGTGTATCTTGCATTGCAGTCTCCAGTGATTACCACAGTCAGCTCCATTTTGATCCTGGAACATGAGTTTGGCACTTTCAGGATTAAAGTAGAACTGAAAGTACTGGGCCTAGTCATCACTAGAATTCGAAAATGAAATATATTAACACATTTCCATTAAACTTCTGTTTGAAATAGAGCAATAATTTATTAACACACAGTGAGAGATACAGCAACCAGTTAGAATATATACATGTATATACACTAGTTACCTTCCTTTTATCTATACAATAAACCTAGATAAAAGAAGGAACATTATATCAGAAAATTTTTTGACAACTTTGGAAAGAAAGGAAGAATTGGTAGGATAATCTTGCTACCTGTTGACATCAAATCTTAGCATCTATTTTCATTTTAGGATATCTAAGCACTGAACTGCCCTTATCTGTGTCTGTCTGTCTGCCTCCCTTTGTACTTAACTATCTGTCTTTCTGAGTTCTGTCTATTGGTTTTATCTGATGAGTTCTCCCTTGTTATGCTCCAATTCAGAAAGTCCCCCCCCCCAAAAAAAACAAGGTAACAGGGTCCCATATGTAAAAGCAGAGAGCCTTTATTTTATGAAAGTTTGCAAACTCAATCTCTCTGCATGTCCAACGTATTGGAATAAACGGAGAGCCCCAAGCTCAGTTAGAGTTAAGTTTTTATAGCATTAAAAGTTGGGATGAGTGGTTTCTAAGGTTCAGGACCCCTGATTGGCTGACATTTGTCTAGGGGTGTCCTGGTGAATGTGTGCTGGAAGATGATCCTATCTACAATGGTTGGAACATTAGGCATTTCCTTTGGATGGTCTGTTCTTGGGTGGTGCTCAGGTAATCTCAGTTTGTGGTTCTTCCTACATCCAGGTATTGCTTCAGGGTAAACTACTGAGACTCAGGCCTCTGTTAAACTTATTGATGGCTTAGTCCCACACTTACAGGTGATGATGGTTGGAAGTAAAGAACTTTCTTTGGGTGATCTGTTCACGTTTAGCTTATCAGGGCTGGCTCCTACATTTCCCCCTTCACAAGCACCAATGATAGGAACCAGTCTTGGTTCCTGCTTGCCCCTGGTTTTAAAAGGTATGAAACTACTTAAATTCATAAATCCATGAATTGTCAACTCTGAACCTATTTTTCTAGTATATCAACAGGCACTATAGGTAGTTATCTTGTCCCCCGTGCCAGGGGGTTTTCCTTGTTTCAGCCTTTCTACCTATTTTGGGCAGGGGGCATGGAACCATGTGTTCCTTTCCACAACTACTTCAAGCTGACATTGGGGTGTTGGTATTCGTGTCCAAGCAAGTTGAAAGTCATCAGACATCGTTGAACGGACAGGTTCACTTCAGCTTTCAGGAAGTTCAAAACAGGTTGTCGTCAGCAATGGATGCTTAAATATGCTCTGCCAACCAAGTGGAAGCCTATTGAGCTAAGTTTAAACTAGAAACAAAAATTAAAATTTAAAAAAAGAGCAGATAACAGATATCTGTAAAAAGAAGGAATAGATTCACGCCTTTGAGTCCTAGCAAAAACTACAGATTTTGGTTAGAAGCATGTATATTTTTCTGCTGTCCAGAGAACCATGTATGGTAGCTTTAGAATGAGCTAACA